AACACTAATACAGTGAAGAAATTGTGAAGTGCCATAGAAGAGGTACATACAAATTGCTTTGGCACTTTAAAAACGGGAGATTTTACTTTTGCCTGGGGCAGGTGGTAGGGGATAGGGAGGAACTGGGAAGATTGTGCAGTGGACTCTGGGTTATAGAAAATACAAGCCAATTGGACGAGGTCTTCAGAGACGGATTTTAGACATGTGGAGATGTTGGATGCAGTGTGCCACCTCTGGTTCTTTGTTCACTCAAATGAGATTGAGTATACACTGTGTCAGGCCTAGCTTTACTCATTTCATGAAGTTTACAATTTATCAGATAAGATAGACTCTGAACAAGTTATTTCCTCATTCATTGCTGTAGTCATTCATTTAACATACATTTGAGTGGCTACTAAATGCATTCTTGGCATATAACAGTGAATAAAACAGCTGCTGAGCTCATGAAACTTACATTTTAGTTGGGAGACAGAAATACATAAGTTTGTAATATATTGTCAGGTAGGGATAAATAAAGTGAAGAAAAATAAAGCGGAATAAGAACATAGAGTAATGACAGCCAGGTGGGGCTGTTTCAGTTAATGTGATCAGGGAAGGCCTCTCTGAGAGAAGGGTATTTGGAATGAGACCTGAACAAGATGAGGAGATCGAGTCCTAAGAATAGCTGGGCATAGAGTTTTCCAAATTGAGGGAATAGCAATACAAGGACTTTAGGATTGAAGGTTTTAGTATTCTAGGAATAACAAGAAGATCTGAAGATTGGGTATAACTTGCGAAGGAAGAAGTTACAGAAAATGAGAACAGAACTATAATATGGGCCTGGTTTGACAAGGCCTTGTGGCATGGTGATGGAGTGGTGTTGGGAAGACTTTGGGAGAATGACATGGTCTGATTTATGTCTAAAAGATCACTCTAGCTGATTTGGTCCAAAATGGAAATCAAGAGACTGGTTATCTCAGCAAGGAGATAAAGGTTGCTTGTGCAGTCACAGTGCAAATGGCAAGAGGAAATATTTGAAGGAAGGGCCAGCGGGCTTTCTGATGGATTGGATATGGGGCATGAGAGGAAGATGTTGTAGTTTGGTGCTGTCTGCTGAGAAAGCCAATGCTGAGAGAAGAGTGGGTTCTAGTGGAAAACAAGAGTTCTCTTGTTCAGGAGGCCAACTGACATCCAGACGAAGATGTAAAAGGAGGTAGTTGGATAGAAGTCTGGTATTCAGGGAATGATTGATGCCCGGTGTTTAATTTGGGGAGTTAATAGGATATAGAGAGATTTAAAACCATGAGACAGAATGAAATCACCTGGGGAGTGAGGTCCTCTCCCTAGTGTTGTTTAACATGCTCCTCTCATCCTTTTTTTTTTTTTTTTCTCCTCTCATCCTTGTTTCAAATTAGATTCACGTTCAATTTGGGGGAAAAGTACTTCATGGATGGTGTTGTGTCCTTACTGTTCTAGTCCACGGGAAGCACCATGGTTCTTTCTCTTTTTAAGATATTTATATTGACCAGTGGGTATAGGTATTGACGCTCTGATCCATTTATTATAAAACTCCATCCCCATTAGGTTATGAATTAGTTGGTTTTAGCAACCACTAATGATCATTTCCTGAATCCATTATTTCAACAGAGATGGCAAAATGGTGATAGCAAAAGTCTTTCCTTCCTTTTCAATTAGCGAAACTCTTCAGTAAAGAACTTTATCTCATCAACTGTTTGGTTAGCCCGAGGTACAATTTGTACAGGAAAGGTAGAGTAAATGCTTGGAATTTTCTAAGGATGACCAGAGAGAGCCTTTTTTCATGGTGATTCCTGAGTTTTTTCATAAGACCCTAGTAGCCTTTGGTAGCTTTCTTGTTTTCCTGGTATGCTAAGATGTTTCAGGTTCCTCTTATCTATGCCGCACTCCAGCCTTGAATTAGCCATTTCTCTAAGGGTCCTGCAACCCTCACTCTTAACCAGTGTGTGATATGGAGTAGTTTTAGGGTGTCTTTTGTATTGGGTAGTCTTACGGTGACCTTTTTTTTTCTCAGAACATATTTCTGTTCTTGTGTGTACTGGTATAACAAAACAGAATGAACATACTTTTTAAATGCAACATATTAATTTATATTATTATTTTTATTTATATTTTTTAGAGAAGGAGTGGGGAGCAGCAGAGGGACAGGGAGAGATAGAATCTTAAGCAGGCTCCAGGCCCAGAGGCATGGGGCTTGATCTCATGACCCTGAGATCATGACCTGAGCTGAAATCAAGAGCCCGAAGCTTAACTGACTGAGCCACCCAGGTGCTCCAATTATATTTTAATTCCACAATTTTGAATGGCTTGGTTTATTCACTAAGTCCTGCTTCCTTACAACATTTTTTCATTTAGTAAGTCAAAAGTGAATTTAGTGCCGAAAATACTAATTCTGGAATGTAACTAATCTAAGCCATGGAGATTATCATAAAGTCAGAACTGGGCTGGTTTAAAATGTGCTATACAATTAGGCTTGGCATAATCTGGTTATTGCTTTTCCCTGCTCTCCTCTTCCCAGTGACTTTTATTCGAACTTTTTTTTTTTTAAATTTGTTATTTATTTATGATAGTCACAAACAGAGAGAGGGAGAAAGATGCAGAGACATAGGCAGAGGGAGAAGCAGGCTCCATGCACCGGGAGCCCGACGTGGGAGTCGATCCCGGGTCTCCAGGATCGTGCCCTGGGCCAAAGGCAGGCGCTAAACCACTGCGCCACCCAGGGATCCCTCGAACTTTTAATATGTGAGCCATAGCATAATTTTTAATAAGTAGCAGAATCATAATGATTCCAGAATTCTTGTTATATTTTATGCATACATAAACATGCATATGGAGAAAGACTACTTTTCACTGTAGGATAGTTGAGCATTTAAATTTGATAGTGTCAAAATTTTGATTCCCCTTGTAAGATTTTCTGCATGGCCTGTGGGAACCAAATCTTTTGTGAAACCATTAGTGGTATTACCTGTGAGTCTAATTGTAGAACAGCAGGCATTCTCCTTCAGCTCTGGTCCCACCTCTTCTCTCTGAGAAAAATTGTGTGTGGGAATGACGTAGAAAAAACAACAGAGCAGTGATCCTTTCGGAGCCTCCATGCTTTAGACACAGAAAGTGCACACATACCTCCTGCCTGTGCTATGGGCTATTTTTTTTAATAAAGGTTTTACTTATTTATTTGAAAGAAACCACAGGCAGGGGGAGGGGCAAAGGGAGAGGGACAAGCAAACTGTCCACTGATTGAGGAGCCTGACTTAGGGCTCAATCCCAGGACCCTAAGGTCAAGACCTGATCCAAAGTCAGACGCCTGACCAACTGAGCCACCCAGGCACCCCTGCTTTGGGCTCTTCTGACAATGCCCAAGGTGTGTTCATTCTTTGAGGATGATTGGAGCAGATCTTCCTAAATGTTACTAAATTTGCCAGGCACATTTAAGGACATTGACTAGGTTTGCTGATTTGAGTGGTGTCAAATTATTTTCCTTCTCTAACTTGTCAGTGAAGTCTGTTTTTGAATGATCTCCTCTGGGTCAGGTATGAAAACCAAACTTCTGTAACTAGGCAGAAGTATACAGAAGAGAGCTGGGTTTTATGATTGTATATTAATTTAAAGACCTACTGTGGCTTCCCTCTTGTGCTTTCATGCAGGAAGGGGCCTGAGGAAATCTTTCTGGAGATTTCTGGCCTAGACCATTGAAATTTCTTTCTTTTACTATCAAAGAAAAGGAAACTTCAAACTTCTCATAATGAGATAATGGACAAATGAATGAGTGATAAAAGAATGAAAAAAATGAATGAATGAATGAATGTGACAAGAGTCAAAACATGGCAAGAGCTGAAAGAAAATTTCACAAAAATTATTCTGAAATTGGAAATCAAGTTTTCAAAAAATGTTATTAAATGTTATTAACTTTACTCTGAAAAATTAACTGTTTACAAGTTTTTCTATTACCACATTTTCATGAAGTCACTTTTTTAAAAACTTGGGAATATATTCCTAGAATCTTTAGAATACCTTTTTAATATTTTACTTTGATTTTCTGGGTGACTATAATATTCATTGTCTGGGGTTGGTTATGTTTATTGGAATCTGTGACATGAAAATGTTTTGGAAAAGATTTCTTTCGGTAGCTTTTTCTGCCTTGTTTCAGATAAAGATCCCTTATTAAAGGATCCTTGTGTCGTCTAATTTGAATGGTAATCTGGCTTGTTGAAGGCGGGCATCTATTTTGAAACTTCAAGGTTCAACTCAGAAAAATATTAGACCTATAAAGTATTAACACATAGAGAAACTGCTACAGAAATCCACAGAAATCAAATGCCATAGAAATGAGAATACTGACATTTGACTGTTATGTGACAAACTCATTAAGTCCATTAGTGTCTAGACTCTTCTGTTTGAAAATATTTGTCAAATTATGTAATGCTTCATTCTTAGTGCTAGTATAAATATCCATCAATTGTATGCTTTCTATACTGATTTCGAGCCTCAAAATGGAGAATTAAGGGCTTTTATTCTTTCTGAGAACATTTATAAACTCTTATTTACACTTTTTTTTTCTGTTTCATCATATTCTGTGGTTTCATTTGGAGTGCAGTAACATACTATGCTGAGTTCTTTTATCTGAACATATTCACTGATCCATGTGATGTACCCTTATGAAGCAGCTTAGTACTTGTGGTATTCAGGTCCTCTGGGGGAAAGTGGATGAAAATGTACATCAGAAAAATGGGGAGTAGATATGTCATTCATCTTGGGCAACTTGAGGAGCTGAGGGCCACCCTGGCACTGTTGGATTGATCGTCTCCATAAGGTAGCCTATGCACCTGGAAAATAAATATTCTTTTTCAAGCTACATGGTGAGTGACCATTGCTGTGAGCTTCTGAATGTGCATTTTTCCCTTAGGAAAGAAAAACAAAAAAAGAAAAATCTGTTATTTCCTGTTCTCCCCTCCAGTGATTTAGCAGAACTTTTCTATTTTCTTCAGGTAATTAAACCAGAGAGCAGTGACAAAGAAACAGAAGGTGCCTATGAATTAGATCTCCCTGAGGAGCTCTGTGGAAGCCATTTCCCGCAGCAGTCCATGAAAGGCTATAATGACAGTCCTGATGTCATTATAGAGGCTCAGTTTGATGACAGTGACTCAGAAGATGGACATAGCAACACACAGAATGTTCTGGTTGATGGTGTCAAGAAACTCTGTGTTCATGACAAAGGTGAGTACTGGATTGCTGTCTGACATTTTATTTTACTAACCTGATTATTTTAGGATTCGGATTCTTTCTGTCCTGCAGACCTAATTGCACAGTGCAGTTGGGACCTTCCCAATTTCTAATAATGGCAGCTATTAGAAAAGTGGGACCTTTGACCACTTCCGGCTGCTGGCTGTGAGGAGGGACTGGAGATACTGCTGGTGGCTCCTGTGGCCAGTGGGTACTGTTGTCCTTCCCTAATAGGTCTTTTTTTTTTTTTTTTCTTTTTTTCCTAATAGGTCTTAAGTTATGTTGATAGCTAACCTTGAAGTTTTCTGTGTTGAGCCCCATCCACCCCTATAGCTGATAGGAACAGAATTAAACTGATCTTTCAAATCCCAAAAAGCACTTCATTTTACCCTGAATTTTGCTTTAATTCAGTAATTTTAAAAGTATTTTCATCATTGGTGGTAGGAATGGGTCACCTTAAATTCGATAAGTAGATTATCTTTACAAAGTATTTTGATTCTAAACCTTGAAAAAAAAATCCAGTATTACTGTCTCTGATTAAACTTTAAGCCATGTGTCTTCTGGATGCAGAAGAAAGCAGGTGCGAACACATAGACAAGGAGCTATGACCAAGGGCCCTAGCTGACCACACTCAGGGAAACTAAAGGGAGAGTAGTAGTGAAAATTGGAATATTTTAGTGTATAGATTGCTAAGAAGTTTTAAGTGCAGGGAGTATATTTTCTAGCCAAGTTAAGTTTTCTCTATACTCTGACAGGGAAACAATTGACCTAGCAAGACCAATTAGATTATGAGCTTTTTTTAATCAGGAAGAAGTGTCTGGCACTGTGCCCTTGAAAGGCTAGAAGAAATGCCAAAAGATTACTAAAAGAGGATGTTCTGTGGACACACTGTGATAGGGACTGGTGGGCATGCCTCATTGGCATTCTGAAGTAAGCTGGAGGTGATTTCAGGAAGTGACTACATAAGGATCACCCTGTTTCTTCACTGCTGACGAAGTAGTGACCTGGGGTGGCGAGTATTTTCTGAAAACATGCCACTTTTTGATGCCAGCTACTACTAATTCAAAAGGACTTTCCAAACGTGAAATTCTTTTTGAATGAAGAAACTACTGCTTCGTCAGTGGCCCACTGGGTATGCTGACCCTCTGAGGCACCCAGGTTCCTTTTGTTTTGTGGTCTGCTTAGTTAAATAGTGATTTCACTGTTCAGACCTGGGCAATTTCAGTTGGATGTTATTCCTTGAAATTTCATTCTTCTGATGTATTCTCTTTCTTCTTTAAAAATAGTTGGGTACATTCTTGGGATCCCTGGGTGGCGCAGCGGTTTGGTGCCTGCCTTTGGCCCAGGGCGTGATCCTGGAGACCCGGGATTGAATCCCACATCGGGCTCCCGGTGCATGGAGCCTGCTTCTCCCTCTGCCTATGTCTCTGCCCCCCCCTCTCTCTCTGTGTGACTATCATAAATTAAAAAAAAGATAGTTGGGTACTGTGGCCCTCTTCTGAGAGTGCATTTATATTTTCATGGCATCAGTATTGTGAGTCGTATCTTCTCTGTGAGAAGAGAGGGAAATAACCAAGACCCTATATAGCCAAATCCTCCATCAACAAGATCACCAAGGGAGAGAGATACTTGCACGACAAAGCCAGGCAAAGGAGCACTTTAAAACTTATTTAGTATTTGGCCCAAAACTACTTCCTGGAGACCTAGCTTTGGTGTTTGGACTTGGCCAGACCTCAGGAGCCTCTCTGAGCCCCCTTAGGCTCCACAGTTGAAGGGATAAGATTCCCTGATTTCTTGTTAGTGGTTGGTACCAATACAAGGTCAAGGAAATATTGATGGATGGGAGTGATGACAGAATTGATGCCAGAGTGGATACTAATAATCTACTTTTCTCTTTGTTTGGGAAATTCTGATGCCAGAACTGTTTTTGATTTGTCCTCTGTTATAATTCTCCTCCTTCTCTCTTACCAGTAAATATCATAGAGTCCTTTACATGTCCACTGTATGCTTGTTTTTTCCTTACTCTTTTTATGGTCTTCCAGCCTTACTGTTGTTTATATTCCTTCCTTACTAGGACTGACAGAGGGAACAGCCTTAATCCTTCCCTCAGTATGTGGTACAAATTTCTCTTCCCTGTTAGCCTTTAAATAGAGAGTTTGTGAAACCACATGGCTGTTTCTCATTTCTTGCCCTCTTGATATTTAGGAAAATTGCAATTTGCTCTTTTAAAAATCATGATGTTTTTAGGATATTTCAATCCACTTCTCTTCTCCGGGTGATATAAAATCTGGTTACAGTTAGGATGTTGGTACTTTTGCACCATTTAAGGTTTTAAAATTTGTTATTGAAACAAACCATAACCTTAAGAACATCGTAAACTTTTCCTAAGACTTCTAGAAAGGTTCTTTGCTGTGTGTCATCATTGCAAATGGTTATTAATCCTTGTTCCAAAGTGTGTTTATTTTTGTTCTAATATCATGTTTTACTTAAATGTTACCTATTGCACGTGTACACATTGTATATCCGTGTTTGCCCAGGAAACATTCCTGTCTCTATAGCTACATTTCTCTGGTAAGTGATGAATCACCCCAGGATCTGCATCCTGTGCCTATTGTTGCATAAAAAGTTTCTCTGGGCACCTCAGTCCTACCCAGTAGTTCCTTCTAGGAATACAGTGTGGATCTGTATCATCCTCAGCCCCTAGGAGCGAATGGGCCACAGACTGGTCCCCTCTTGTAGGTCTAGTCCCATAGGTTTCCAAGGCTAAGCTTTTACCACAGTCCAGGCAGCAGTGTCATTGTCAACACAGAAATCTGCCAACTGGGTGGAGCCTGGGGACAACCCAAATAAATTTTCTCTGGTATCATATATTTGGGAATAGTTGCCTGGTTAGCAAACTCCGAAGGAGAAAAATCACGATGGCCAAGTGGTGCTATATGTAGCTCTGCCTCTTTCATCGTCAGGAATTTTAAGAGTCTTGTCCCAGCTGGGTCTGCCAGAGATCTTGTTCAGTTTTCTGGTCTGGAGACAGGCCTCCACCAGTACCCTGATAATGTGGAGTCAGTGATCCTTTCATTTCTCCCTTCTATCTTTTGGCCACCTCCACCTCTTTTCTGAAGGAAGAATCTACATGGAGTCCTTGATCTCATCTGAGATTTGAATCTAACTACTTCTTCTACGGCCTGCCCAGGTCAGCCTCAGAGTCAGGATGAGACTTTTTTTCTCACTTAAGGTCAGTCTCCTTCTCTGACAGGCCTGCCCATTGCCTGTGTTTCAGTTCTTTTCCCTTGGATGAAAAGTGCCTATATTTCCCTTTGGCTAAGAAAAGCAGACCTGTATGATTATTCTCTTGGTATACTTCTGGGTTATTTAAATCCCAAGAACTCTTTCTCCTAACCATTCTTTCTGAGCTAAATATCTTCTGTTTCCAGATTTCTGAGATCATATCTTCCCTAAATGATGATCAGTACACCTAGAAGACAGTTATGGTTGTTTCAGAAATTAAATTAAACATTAGATATATAGTAATTTTCTATCAACCACAGTTTTCGGACAGTGTTTTGAAATCTCATTTTCAAAAATGCAAAGCTGAGGCGTCTGGGTGGCACAGTGGTTGAGCGTCTGCCTTTGGCTCAGGTCGTGATCCTGGGGTCCTGGGATCAAGTACCACATTGGGCTCCCTGCAGGGACCCTACTTCTCCTTGCTCAAGGTGTCAGTAAGAAACATCTTCAATGAAGCCTTTAAATATTTTTTGCAAAAATTATTTTATGAATGTACTAAAAAAAGTCAAACAGTTTTGCCTTTTGCTTAACTTATAATGTGTATTCTTTTTTGATTGAGATTATTATCTTATTCTGGTTTCTCTCTAAATCTATTTGTGGTGTTGAACCATCCTAAGAATTCAAGGATAGCCTTGCATTATCCTAGGATGAATCTCAAGTATAGCCTTTTTTTTTTTAAAGATTTATTTATTTGTTTTAGGGAGAGCAAGAGAGCAAGAGAGTGCATGAGTGGGAAGAGGGCCAGAGGGAGAGAGAATCTCAAGCAGGCACTGTGCTCACAGGGAGGCTTATGTGGGACTCAATACCATGTTCCTGGTCTGTTGAAGTTCTCTCTTTTTGTGCAAGTTTGGCATAATTTAATAGGAATTTATCCATTCAAATTTATTAGCCTATAGATAATCGCCCTGGGCCAAAGGCAGGCGCCAAACCGCTGCGCCACCCAGGGATCCCTCTTTCTTGTTTTCTTTGAAATGTTTTCAAAGCTGTATATTTCCCCCCAAATACTTCTTTAGCTGTAGTCCATAGATTTTGAGGTAAAGTATTTTTATTATTAGTTGTAAGTGTTTAATTTCCTTTGTGATTTCTTCTGCAACTAAATTATGGTTTGGTATATTTTGAAGTTGTATTGTTAGGTGCATATATGTGTTTATTAGAATATACCTAGATATATTTTTGTATACATGCATACACATATTGTATTTATGCATAATAATCGCTGATACTTACTGAGCATTTATTGTGTGGTAGGGCCTAAGTATAGCTGACCCTTGAACAACAAATGGGGGTTGGGGCATTGAACTCCCTTGTAGTAAAAAAATCCACATACAGGGATCCCTGGGTGGTGCAGCGGTTTGGCGCCTGCCTTTGGCCCAGGGCGCGATCCTGGAGACCCGGGATCGAATCCCACGTCGGGCTCCCGGTGCATGGAGCCTGCTTCTCCCTCTGCCTTTGTCTCTGCCTCTCTCTCTCTCTCTCTCTCTCTGACTATCATAAAAAAAAATCCACATACAACTTTTGACTCCCTCAAAACTCAACTATCAATAGCCTGTTGTTGAGGTGCCTGGGTGGCACAGTCAGTTAAGGGTCCGACCCTTGGTTTCAGCTCAGGTCATGATCTCACGGTTGTGGGATCGAGCCCTGCATCAGTCTCCATGCTCAGCACAAAGTCTGCTGGAGATTCTCTCTCCCTCTACTTTTGCCCCTCCCACTTG